ATACATGAAAAGGCACGATTTTTTAAATTCAAAAAAATTTAAATATTTCAAAAACGGTGACACTTTTACATGACATTTTTTTGTTTATCAGACTCGGCCGTCCTGACAAATAGAATCACCTTATTCTACTCCGTTTGTGGGCGTAGAGCACCGGCCATTTTCTACCTGAGCACCGCACCATTGTTCGCCTCGTTGCCCGCACCTTTGTTCGCACCATTGTTCGTATCGTTGGCCGCACCGTTGTTTGCGTATTTGAGCATACCAGTGCTCGCGCCGTTGTTTGTGCCACCGTTGGCACTGTTATCCACATTTTCGTTTTCCAGAATAAACGCACCGTCGTCATTTTCTGGAGCCATATCTATATCATACCATTGTTCGCTCCGTTCTTCTTGTCCTTAACATCGATGTTGAAAATCCGCATAACAATTTCGTCAAGTTAATATAAATAAGATGGAGGAAAACTGGTGCTGCCACTCTATTAATACAATTTGTATTTCAACCTTAAAAACACCCAAATTATGCGCAAGAAATATACTTTTGTCAAAAGAAGGGGAGTTGTGTTCCTTTTTTTCGGACACCGGACACAAAAAGGAGAGTTCCACTATCCCCACGACAGCTGGTTCTACGTACCGGAATGACTTGGGTTTTACCCGACCAAGGGCTGTTGTTTCAGCGATCTAACCCCGTTTAGGTCGGCGAAGTATCTCAGAAGTCGTTCGTCCATAGGGCTACATTCGCTACGCTTTCTTCTGCTCAGGGCTGGCATCGAGTCAAACCCAGGGCCAGAAACCTACACCAGCTGTGGATGCCGGAGACGACTACACCACAACTCCACCTCAGTCAAGTGCAATGCTTGCGAGGGGTGGAGTCTGCTTAGGACTACGGACACATCGGCAGTGGACCACGTCGTTTGTGGCCCCCTGCTGCTCAAACAGAGCAGCCTCCACGGCTAACCCCAGTCCACCTGAGCAGTCCCACACAAACACCTCAGCACAACAGCATAACAACACAATAGACCATACCACAACCGCGACAGACCACAGAACACACACAACTGCACCACCCACACGCCGCCGCCAACAACTCTTGGTTCCTCCTACAATCTG